AGTCTAAATGTATCCAGGTATCACATCTTAACAGATTTTTGTCATAGTAAATTAAACTTCCCAATGTAATTATTCTTAATTAAAACCTGCTTATTGAAATCATCTCATCTGAATTTACTAACAGCTTATCTTTATACCCACTCCTACCTTCAGTGCACATTCATGTTAATATGAACTATGACCTGGAATATTAATATCATAACATCAGCTTTGAGTACACCGCCAAATGCAAACTACAAATGCATTGTTTGATGCCACGTTCCTATTGGCTAGAAGGAAATAAGCATCTGCCATTAAAAAGCTGACATTAGCACTACACTACTGGGCGAATAATCTCAAACTGCTCATTCTGGCAAATGTTTTATTTAAACCAGATCTGTGGTTCACTTTTCAAATAAGAAGGGGTAGTGTGAAGTTGATAAAATGAATACAGCTTGCAGGGATGTCTTTTCTTGATGAAGCAAGAACGATATGGTATTGCTTCAGGAATCAGTTCAGAGAGATGCTTGTCGCTGACAAACTTGAGGCCAAGGTTTCATGTTCACATTGTCTGCTATATGTCAAAGGTCATTACATAAAAAATAAGGGGGCATTTGTACTAAATCCGATTCACATTGCTAAAATGCTTTTTGATTTGTGAAAGCTGAAGTTATTTATATCCTGTATCCAGGGTTACATCATGCAGCATTTGCAGTACGTTTCTCAGCTGGCCTGTTCTCTTTCCCAGTAGGAGTGGCCATGAGAAGACCATTCAGAGGCTGGGGAGGTCAGAGGATTACCAGCATTGCTTTGTGGTTTGTAGTAAAGGACCTGGTTACCCTGCTATTATGTGTCCAAGACAATTTCCCTTTTGCTTGGTTTATTACCGCAAACAGGAGACCTTACTGAAAAATAAACGATTAGCCACACCGAACTGTTCTATTGCTCATGTGATCCCTATACACATTTGTTTCAGCATTTAGAATAATTCTTTTAAAGAGGATAGGCTATTTTAAAAAAAATCAAAATAAGTAAAAAGCCTTCCTCAGAACACTGGCAAATTGTGAAGACAGCATAGAGCATATACAGTGAATTATAAGTGAATTACATGAAATGCATATTTCTCAATGTGTTTTTATATTTTTCAATAGTTTCAATGTGTCATTTTAAAAATGAACATTCTATTAGCCGACTACACTATTCTAAGACATTGTATAGGAATCATTCATGATTTACCTATTCCATTAGTGCGGTTTATACAGTTGTACTGGATTTCTTTACAGTACAGTATTACTGTACTTTTTGAGAAATGCACAGCTACATACTGTATATGAAAATCGTGTCACTGTGTAAATCTAAAATGCAAATTTTATAACTAGTTAAGACATTTTTATGATTACAGATGAGTGATGATATAACACAGCGGGACAATATTGTGGAGATTTAACTCTTAGGGATTACATTTGTGATATTTTTGTGAATTAATACTACATAAAAATGCTGCAGTCATTTTACATATTGAATGCCTGAGCACACTGTGCTCTTTGCTACATTAATTCTGTGTGTCACAATCATCTGGTGTTTGTTGTAAGCGAGATCACCATGATACTTGAAAAGAGAGCAGTTGAGCTTTGGATTACATTCCTGAAAAACAACCTGCCGAGCCTCTGAAAATAAGCCAGGTGTTTTATGGGATCATGAACTCATTAAGGATTCAATTCTCTCAGCTATTTCATCTGAGCCTCACTATCAGTATCACCAGAAAGCTAGTTCTTAATATAGCTTGTCTAATTTTGGAATTGTTAGTCCAACAACACTTTCAATAATTAGCCTACAAGCCTATATTATCAGTTTCTAAACAAATATTTTTATGTATTTAAATGGAAGTTATTACAGTATGTAGTTCAGGTGGGTAGCTGCGTCAGCATGCGTAGGCTGCAAAGGAACAAGTAATAGCTTTATTCCATGCTGAAAAAAAGAAGAAGAAAGAGAACACAACGTTTCGGCCGTGGAGCCTTCTTCAGGTGCCTACTGTTATTACAGTATGTCTGTTATCATTCCCCTGTACTCCTCCCTAGAGTATAGATAAAATATAGGTCACAAATCCATTTTGACATCAATATCACACTATATAGTCTTCCAAGATTCAAAACTAGTAGATGAAGGGTAAGTAAATTGGAAATAGAGTTTCACCCAAGCAAGACCTACAATAAAAGAACATCAGTCTTTTTGAGGTACACATTGACCTTTCATTGACCTTTCATTCCATCTGAAGATCAAAGACAAGTGCCCTATTTCTGCTCAGCCTTTCTTTAGAAGTACATATGAAGGGATCAGATACAGCAACCAAAGACATTTCCACAGGTGATCTAGGGGAATGTTTGTGGTTACCAGGATTACCAAGATACCTGCTCAACCTGTACAGTTTCTGTGAAATTAATACTCTAATTAATACTCTAGTTAATCTATCAAAGCATAAGTTAAGGAATCTTATTTAGCCATTACATATAAGTCTTGAATAAAAATCTAATATCAAACCTCTGCGATTAAAGATATCAAGGCTTTTGCGGTA